TGCAGATTAAAGGGGGCGGGGTATTGTTGGTCTCGTTTAATGTCATATGAGGTGTGTATCACTGTTGGCGATTGTTGTCGACGCATTTTAACTTGTTTAGTGAAGGCGTTATACGATAAGCGTTGAAAGGTTTAAACAAGGTTTTCAAGATCGCGGGAACTAAGTTACCTACATCCGAAGCGCAGCCGATGTATTAGTAACTAGGATATCCCAAATCCGTTTAGCAGAAAGTTAAGTTTGACGTTCTGACAAAAAGTTTGGCTCTGATGAATTAGTAACGGTTGTCAGAATCCGTATTCCAACTTGAATTACCGTAGCAAGTGCCGAATCACGGAAAATCATGCAGTGCTTGACACCGCTGGTTGATTCATGAGTAAGACACTATTTTATTCAAAATTACAGGCGGAACAAACTTTTTTAGTGCACGATTTGGAATAAACTAGTGTCTTACTCCTGAATAAACCAGCGGAGTCAAGTATCAGTAGACATATCGCAGGTCACTACGGAAGCTCAATCCGAAGACTGAAAAACAGTTGAGAAAAGTTTGTAACGTTAACCGAGACCTTGGTTCTGCAAAAAAAATGTTTGTACCGCTGGTAATTTGGAGTAAAATAGTGTCTTAGCCATGCAGCAAGTCATTCTTTTGGTGTCTGTTCCATCTTGAATTAAAATGATCGCTGCAGAATGGAGATTCATCAACATATGCGAACAGCAGTGGCTTGCATGATTAAACCTACTTGAATGTGACGAAGTCACAGCATCAAAACTGCATCAAGCTGAATCTTTTATCTGATAAATTACAAGCTATAGGCCTGAAAGTTCATACATCATGAGGGCTGATCATAACCCATATTGAAACGTTAAAAATGAGGTACACATGCGACCGTGAAGAGTCTTTCTGAAGTATTTTGAAAATCGGTCAGTCTGAAAATAGTTTAACACAGGAACAAAAACTTCGGTGGTTCAATCGCGTCATGAGAAGAAATTCTCAAAAAAATATTTCTACAAGACTTGACCTCTGATCGAGAGAAAACTAAGACTGCTTGGAACAATGAGCTAAATCCAGTATAATATTAATTAAATGGTACCTAGACGTCTGGAAGCAAGGGACCGGTGCAATAGTGTTGCCGAAGTAAAGTGAGAAACAGATTTTTCCTTTTTCTTTCTTCTTTTTTTGCACTGTGAATTGTCGCCTTTTCAAGCCGGTATCATTATTCTCAATGTGATATCTTCGGCGGCGGTATCGCAAAGTCCCCCAAAACATCGAATTATATCTTGTCATTCAGTCGCTTACTGATCCTGGCAATCTTCGTTGAATATACTTATATTTAATTCTAGTTGGAGACGCGGCCCTGCGTCCTATGCGCAGCAGGCGTTTAAGTACCATGAAACCGTGGCCTGCATAAGTGGTCCCCCTAGGCATCTACAAACAATGGGGCGTTGCAGTAATGCTGCAGTTGTAAAGTGAGAAAAAATTTTCTTTTTTTCTTTACATTGTGCAATTTCGCCATTTCAATCCGGTTTCATTATTCTTAATCTAAATTCAGTATAATTCATTCAAAAAATGTCGCTGAACATCGATGTGGCTTAGAGCGTCGTGCTGATCGTGGTTGATTAATGAGCTAAACGCTAACGGTAGATTCTTCAGACTTTATTTAAGCGATCTGTTTTTTTCCCCAGCACTTCGCGTCGAAGAGTATTTTTACGACAAACTTGAAATGAAGAAGGAGCAACGACTAAATAACCTGGAAACTCTCGGTGTGGCAATGATCCAGGCCGGCAACGAGTTCGGACCCGGCACAGCGTACGGTAAGTTGTTATGTGCTACGCGCCGCCTGCGATATTAATCTGCTGCGTGTTTCAGGCAGCATTTTGCTTAAAATTGGCAACACGCAGCAAAAGTTGGGCCTTGCTGAGAAAGAGTTCATAGGCGCAGCAGCCACCAACGTCTTAACTCCGCTGAAGCGCTTTCTGGAAGGCGACATAAAAACGATCGCTGTAATTTTGCTAGTTCGTTTTTCCTTTCGTATTGTAAAACGGCGCTGCTAGTCATGTTGCTATTTCTCTGGCGGTAGCGCTGTGAATGGAGACGGGTAAGGTGACCTCAACTGTTATAAATTAGCAGTGCAGCATTTACGAAGATCAACTGTAATAAGCTGAAGGTATGTGAATGTGACTTGGTCCCCCAAACCCATTGAGTTACGTATAGTAACTTTTATGGAGGTTAAAAGCCAAGAAGTTGATTCGAATTCATGGCCGTTGCGCTTTTTTTGTTGCAGCTTCAAGTTCGGTTCTCTTCACCTCCGAACAGCTGTTGAATTTTGATTAATTAGCGCACTAGCCTTCTACATGACATCGACGGGATGATGGGCAATTCACAGTCAGTCGAAGTCAGATCTGAAAGCCAACAATTATCAGGCAGTGGGTGAAGGGTGACGTGGTAGATTTGATAATAATCGTACAGAGTTGACCGACTGATTTTATGCTGATTAAATATGTCGTTCATTAACTGATATTTGAGTTCCGCAACCACAGTCGACTGAGTTTTATTCCGTAATGGCGTCGGGAATTTCACCCGTATATCAAACTCGTTGGCACAGCCTTGTGACACAGACTTGTGTTATAATTTTTCTTAGGGAACGATGAAAGCATAAAAAAGATGTAGGTTTCCCGAATATTTAAAAGTTATAAAACAACAAGCGGTAACAGAGGTAGCACCTTTTAACTCTAATATTAATATTCTTTCATTTTCATAGCTCGCTACTACATTTGGGTTTCGAGAACACCAGCGTTAGAGGCCTTTCCGGTGATTTCAGCCTTTCTCCAGTCAGATAGACTCCGTTGCATTTTTACAAATGTGGCAGAGAGTAAAGTTTTTCGGTTCTTAGACATTCGAAAAGATTTCCCAGATTTCAAGTCAGTAAAATTTTTTGGAAAGCGGAGGGGTCGATAATTTAAATCAGCATTAGCGCTGATGCCGTAAGGGGTATATTATGTTGATGTTCGTTTAGTTTCATTTTTATTTTAGAAAGAACGGAAGATTTTGAACGGTAAAAGACTTGATCTTGACGCGTGTAAGAGTAGGCTTCGAAAAGCAAAATCTGCTCAAAGTCAAGCCTCAGTAAGTTTCTCTCACAGTTGCATTTCGTGTTTGACGGTAAGTGTGCGTTGGCGATGTGTGGTTCAATGCGATTGTCGTTTCGGTTCGAATTTCATGCGCTGCTAGAAGAGATTTGTTATGTTGTTGTGTTGATACTTGTTTTAGTTTCCGCCTGGGACTTAGTTTATGAAATATGTGGG